AAGTTGGATCTATCGAGTATTATTGATATGTTTCTGGTGAATGTGGTTCTCGAAAGATTGACAACTTCAGTCTTACATAGTCCGGTAAAAAAAACTGAATTTTAGCCCATTTATATGCACTTTTGGATCGAAAATTACCGATCATTTCAAAAAAAGAATCCACATCCCGCTATTTGTGGCTAAAACGACGAAGAACCATGTAGAGAAGGACAGAAATCTTTCGAGAACCACATTCACCAGAAACATATCAATAATACTCGATAGATCCAACTTAGACTGAAAAGAAACTTCACATTATTCTTTCTTTTTTAACCCTTTATGTCTCTTATTTTCTTACATAGCATCGAGAACTCGGTACAACCCGATTCGATTGCTGGTTTTCTTTGTTTTCATAATAATAAAATAGCTGAAGCCAACTCCTCTTACAAATGTAAAAATGAGATAGGATGTTTCAAAAACGGAGAACGGCGTAGAGAAAAGTTTTCAGAAATGAACAAGGATATACTCGAATACCATTTCCGTTTCCGAATAGATTTTCTATACTCAACAACGTTTAGGAGAATACATTTTTGAACGCTCAAAATACGTTTCCGGATCTCGAAGCTTTTCAAGAACTCAAAGAGTTTTGGAATTTTGACCAAACCTTTTCTTTCCAAAATTCAAAGGGAAAGTTCAGCAAAAATTGAGGGAAAGTTTTGAAACAAAAGACTACTTAAGTTTGCCAGAACACCTTACGGATATATCGTGTGTATATATAATAGAGAAAGACAGAACGTAACAGAAACGCATTTAATAATGATGTACTATAAGTAATGGTATCATAGAAAGGCATGATGCGATGACGATGTAAGAGATACACTTTCTGAAAAAGAAATGCTTTTATATAAATGACGTTACACCATCTTGGTATATTTTGGGTCTTGTGACCTAACACAATCGTTTCGAAAGAAAAGTCTTCTTTTACTCCTCCTCCGCTTTCTCTGTTCTAATGTCATCCAAATCAACTTGCCGCCGGCCCGATACCAAATCGATTTTGTCTAATGTTAGCATTGAATGAGATTTCCAATACAATAACTTATAAACCAAAAAGATTAAAATAACCACTGGTACCGCTAAATATGCTTGAAAGAATGCCTTCACACTTGGGCTGCTTTTACGCTGACCAACCGGCCAGAGAGCAATGTAAAGTTGTGCCATTAAACATAGAACATTCAGAATTAAACCTATGTACGATCCAATAACGCCAACACCAGAACGAAACGGTAGTTCATCCAACGTATGTCCTTGGTACTTCCAAGCTTGACGAAAGCGTATATGACAGGCACAGATGTTCCCCCAGATAAAGAACCGAGCCAGGCCAGTAATAGCCAAAAGCCAGCTGAAGACCACAGAAGAATTACTAATTAGAGTTAAATATGCGACGAACCCAAATAGAAGTGTAACTAACAAAGAAACAAGTGGACGGCCATTACGATCAATATAACTAAAACATTTTGGTGCTTGTTGTACGCTGGTGAGAGCTGTTAGTAAACGTGATGAACCATAGGTTATTGAGATAGCAGCAGACAACACTGATAGTACAATAATACCATTGAATATGTCGGGTAGCACTCTGAAGCCGCCTAGAACAAAAACTTCAAACTATTACAACACGGACTAAATTTTCAGAACCCGCTAGTCTTTTAGCTTCGCTATTCCAGCTTTTCATTCGATTATTTTCCTTTGCAGTTTTAAAGGCTCAAGTACGAAACGACACTTAGTTAGCAAAGTTTCTGGCTTCAGAACGATTTTTCTGTGAAATCTGATCACCTCTTATATGAGGTATCGAATTCCAACATGAATGAGGTTGGAACACATATCAAAATTTTTCTTTTTGTTTTCTACGCCAGTATCCGTCGGAGGCTTATGATCGTCATAAACCCTAGGACATTTTGAGAAAAGGTACATCAAAATACATACCATCTCAACCGCCAACGAAAACTAATGTTTGATCTCTCCGAGTTTGAAAGAGCATCGAAAATTACTAAGAAACCTAAAATCTCTCGGGTGGTCCAAGACACTAAAAGAAACTGTCACAATCTTGGTGTACCTAGAAAAATTGCACTTTTGAACGAATTTTTTCAGGCAACTGTAATTTTTAAACCGAAAAGCCTAGAGAGCTCGTTGAAATATCACGATGATACTCAGGTACAAATACAGTTAGTGAGAGGTTAATACAATGTGTAATGGCTGAGATATAGTCCAAATACCTGAAAAGTGACGTAATTCTCATTCATGCTTTTTGGAGGTATTTTTCTCATAAAATTTTTATTCATGATCACACCACAACTCTTTTTGGAAGGAAGATACAGCTCACGAAACTGCGTGAAATGGCAGGAAAAATGAAATCAGAATTCACTAGCTAGAGGCTGTATCGTTCTCACAATGCATACTTCTCGGATATCAAAAAGCATTTTTTTGTTAAAAAACAATCGAATTCATTCAAAGACTATAAACCATTCATATTTTTGTAATCTGCAAACAAAAATGAATTAGTTTAGAAGGAAATATGCGTTCAATTTAAGAACTCTATGTAGCTTTATTTTTTCGTCCACTAAAGAAATATGATTTTGATTGTTTTTCTGCTTTGTAGAGCAATGAATTGTGCATAAGAACAGATGCTAGAGTAATATCTAAAGTGATAGATAAGAAGTCTTCGAAGACTTTTTCCACTTTTGAGTGATACATGCCCTGCAACTTCAGAGTGTTCTCCTCATAGCTTCTCTAGTTTAATCCTTATCCTTGAAAGCAGTTTTGGAGACACTCTTTTTCGTTTCAGTCGGAAACAAAGCTTTGAAAGCTTAAAGATCTATGGCTGGTACTATGGTCTTTACCTGTAAGACTCTGTAACTTATTACGCTAACTTAATGTAACTCCAACAAGACGTTACCTAAATCAAGTACAATAACAAACGGACTTGTTGATGCTGTTGATTTTTGGCCACCCCCTGTTTTCAATAGCTGTTCACTGTTGAATGGTACTATGAATCCAATTAACAAAAGACTAACAATATAAAGTATCGCAATATACCAGAAAGCTTGTTTCGACGCACTTGGTACCGTTTTGTGTGGATTTTCACTTTCTGCAGCTGCGTAACCAATTAGTTCTGAGCCACCGAAGGCAAGTGCTGCATTAACAAAAACGCTAAGGAGACCTGGAAATCCATTGTTAAATGCACCCGGATTCGTCCACGTTCTAACACCAAAGTATTTACGCGAAGGCGAGCCGCCAAGATCAATAACAACTGCCAATATAATGAATCCAGCCACAGCCAAGACCTTTACCGTTGCAAATATGACTTGTGTTTCGCCGTAGCCTCTTACATTGAACAGATGGATCAGTATAACAAAGAGAAAGAAGATTGTGATCCAGAAACCGACGTGTAAGCTAGCAGTGTGTTTCCAGTACTGTATGGTGATGGCAGCAGCTGATAACTGTAACGGTAACAGGACGAGAGATCTGAAAACGTTCAGCCAGCTCATTGTAAACCCCCAGGCTGGATCGAGAAAACGTGTAGAATGAATATTGAATGAACCTTGAATAGGGTACATCACCGTGAGTTCGGTTAACGCATGTACAACTATGTAGAGTAAACAGGCAATAATGAGATGAGCAATTAGAACAGATCCAGGACCGCCTTGAGCCACCGAAAGACCACTACCGACAAACAGGCCAGTTCCAATTGTAGTCCCGATGCCAATCATTTGTAGGTGTCGATGTTTAAGCATCTGTTTTAATCCGAATGGTTGTTCGTTCTCTGCTGTTGTAGTAGTGGTACTTGTTACTGTTGGAAGTAGTAATGGTGGTGCTACCTCTGGTATGAGTGCCGGTTTAAATGAGGAAATAATTCGTTGAAATAAGTTTTCTTTGGTGGGCGACATCGATGAGCTGGATATTATTCTTAGAGCTGACCTGAGGGGATATAACGAAACAAAAAAAGAATGAATAAATTTTGAGTAGCGCTATTGCCACTCTCTGAGTGTGTTAAACCGAGTCATCATATTTTAACTTTTGAGTGTAAATTTCAATACAGTTTATGAATTTTTTGCATTGGAGTTCTAAAGGTGTTTACTCTAAGGAGCAACTGGTTATTTGTATTGTTATTCAAGGTAGCTTTGTATTCGTTTTCCATTACCTTTGTACGCACAACTGGATGCATTTGTGAGACTATCACTGAAAAAGTGTAATATATTGATGTGGGCTTGCTGTATTCTCATTGACAATACACCAGAATACACAAATGTAAGAATTTCCGACGTGCAACTTCGAATTTATTCTCATCCACGAAATGTTGCATCGTGGGTCACTCTCATGCTCCACCTCCTCGGGGGGGGGGGGGGGGGGGGGGGGGGGGGGGGGGGGGGGGGGGGGGGGGGGGGGGGGGGGGGGGGGGGGGGGGGGGGGGGGGGGGGGGGGGGGGGGGGGGGGGGGGGGGGGGGGGGGGGGGGG